AGCTCTACCACCGAGCTACCATGACAGCTTTCCCCCCAGCCACTTCATTGGGTATTTATGTGAATTTAAACGTGGGAGTGTCAGATACGCCATAGCGGAGTACTGTGGAACTTTTTAACCTTCTGGTGTTCTTTAATATGCGCTGACATGACACAGTGTACATGGGCCTCTGTGATTGCGCTTTCCTCTGAATATGACTGCCGTGAACGGGATTGAATCCCGAACCTATGTAGATGTAAATGTTGATCCTAAACATGCGGATATATATATATAAATGAGATCTAAGAGACAATACTGCCAAGGAAAGTATAGGGGCAGTTATGAGACCGAATCGTAATGTAAAGAAAGAGAAGTGGGTCAAAAGATAACTTGCCGTGGGCAAGAACCAAACCTGCGACTTCAGAATAACGCGTTCAATGCTCTACCACTGGGCTACCACGGCGGCCATCCCTCTAGCCACTTTATTGGGTGTATATGCTAATTTAAGCGTGGGAGTGTCAGTCAGCGCCACTACTAGCCATGGCGGCAAGCGTGGCCCACTCTTTATTAGCCTGTTTGGCGTCACGTAGCACGTGAACTTATTACGAGCTGGCAGCTGACCAATAGTCCCTCGTCGTATACAACCTCGTAAGACCCTCGTCAACAAATTAGGGAAGTATATATATATATATATATATATATATATATATATATATATATATATATATATATATATATATATATATATATATATATATATATATATATATATATATATATATATATATATGCGTCTTGCTGAGGTGTTCGATGATGATGGCCGGTTGATGAAGTGGCTGCTAGGTCTTCATTCTGTCGACTCGTGTGACGCTATGATGAATGGGAGACGTGGCCTGGCTCATACGCTATGTCTTGTCTTGTCTTGTCTCCTAGGAGATCTTGGCTCATACCCACATGGGGGATTGGCCACACTGTACCTCATAATAGATCATTTTTTACAACGCTTGCTAAAAAATAAAGAGAAATTAGATAGGAACAATAATAATGTTCCTTTGAAAAAAAACGTGAAAAATTGCAGAAGAATGCGATAAACCAGATTATATAAAACAAATTAACAAGAATGAGGAAGGGGGAGAAAGAATTGGATATATCTGGCAGTACCACTAGCAGCGTATCTTTCCGGTTGCCTAAATGAATTTATGTAGCGCTGACAGAATAGCACTGCGGCCCACACCCAACTGACTGGCTCCAAACGATAATAGGTTGGATGTATTGACTGGCAATCCGAGCATACCAATCGGTCTTTCAAGAATTATTCGGCGCAGTGAGGCGAAGCGGTGGCATGTGAGAAGAAAGTGATTTATTGTTTCCGGTTCATTGCAAACTACACATAGGTTAGTTAATGAAAATCCTGATTTGTTGAGATAAAAATTTAACAGAGGAACTCTACATCGAAAGCTTGTGAGGGTCACCTCACATTGACGAGAAAGGCATTTTGCGGTGTTCCATGTGAATTGCAAGTGGCGAAATTCTTCAGATTGTAGAAGCGACGTTTCGTTGATTTTTAAGATTAACAGGCGTTTGAATCGTTCGGCAGTAATAAAAGGAAACTGTGAAGCTACTAGCACCACCGGGAAATTTAAAGATGCCGAAGCGAGCGAATCAGCAATTTCATTTAGTTCAATTCCAGCATACCCGGGGACCCAAATAAACCGAACTTCCGATAGGCTATGCGGTACGAGAGACCAAAATATCCTGAGAAGAGGGGAATTTTTTGCGTACGTGAGATGTGTACATACAGACAAAGCATCCGAAATAATAATAGCTTTTGATTGCTGATAATTTAGTTTTCGAAGAGCCAATGTAATAGCCAGGAATTCTGCGAGATAAATTGGTGTGAAGTCAGGCAATCGGAGCGCAAAAGACCAATTAAGCTGATGAGAAAAAATACCTACTCCAGCCTTCTGAAAATTTTGCATTGCGTCCGTCGAAATTACTACGTATTTAGGAAAATGACGCTATGTTTATTCTACTAAGCACTTCCTTTTCTTCGGCTTCTCCTGCCATGCCTTCATACGTCACATGATTCGCCCTCCCCCCGAAAGATGGCACTGGTTACAAACAACAACGAATTCGAGAAAAGATTAAAGAAACTAATGCCCGATTTCACAGTTTCACGTCCCGACGGAGTTCCACAATCTCACTAAATCTTCAAGGCAGAGGGAGCAGTCCGGTGAATTCTATCACAATTCTGAAGGGCGAGGTTGACTGTTGCGTTCCGGACAGAGTAAGTCACGGAGTGGGCCACACACGGATAATGACAATACTGCTTGGACTCTTGCGGGGACTGAGCAAGGTTGGAACGCCTTGTTGCATCGGCAGCTCAGATGTCAATGGGGTGTTATTTTTTTGTCGTGAAGGGTGCAATCCCGGTGCTTCTTGCTTGCGTGTTTCTTGACAGACTGTGACGGAGTGCCTGAGTGCTTGCGGCGTGCAAGCAGTGCTTCCAGGTCTTTCTCGGCGTTTTTTTTTTTTTGTGGTGTTGCAGTCGGTGTGTTTGCAGGCGCAGGGAGTGTCTCTGGCAACTTTTCTTTGTGCAAAAGTGCCTGGTGTGTTTAAAAGGTCTTTGGTTTAGAGATCTTATTTTCCGATGTTATTTGATTGGAGAGTGTGCATCCACTGAATTTCACGTTCGTCGATGCTTTTGTAGTAGTCTCTCTCGTTGTCCCATAAGTTTGTGGACTTGGCTGTGCTTGTTTTGCTGATGTTGCTCAGCAGATGGCTGTGGTAGAGCCTCTTCTGGAATAGGGCATTCATTTCCTTCACAAGTTTACGTGTCCTGTATACAGCTGATGCATGATGATCTGGTCTCTTGCTTGTCGGGCATAGTTGGTAATGCGCCATCATTGCTAGCATGCTCTTCAGAGGCTTCGGTAAGGTGGTCCAGTATGAACGCTTCTGACAGACAGCTGCGTGCGAGGTTCGATGTATGCATTATTTCTGCATTGTTTCGATTCTTGGAGCTGTGAGCACTGGATGAGGATACCACAGGTGACGTGGCATTATAGGTTCGAACTGCACAGTCTGCTGAGCCATATAAGTAAAGTCTTGTGATGAAAAACACCTTTTCGTGTCGTCATGGCGTGGTTGGGTATTTTCCCGATGCGTCGATGGTACATCTATTGTGAACATGATGTCTTTACGAGGCAGACGGTGAGCGTTAAGAGCACTTGAGGAGCCGCGTGATGTAAAACCGGTTGGCGGGCTGTGTATGCGAGACGAAGAATGGAGAGTATCAAACAGTTGAGCAACGTCTCGTGTCACATGCTCAAGCGATGACTTTGAAAGTGTCGTCTTGCGTGCAGAAGGGAGGCCCGCTCGATGGTTGTGTTTTTCCCGAAGTACGATTGGTCGCCTGTCAGTGTACTCATGTTCCACTCTGTGTTGTGGGAGTAGTCGATTCATGCTGGGCGTTCATAAGCTTGAAGACTGCTTGTGAAAGTGACAACCGAGTGCGATTACCTGTGGATGGTTGGTTATAAGCGAGTTTTGGCATAGTCGTCATTGTATTCTTGAAATCGGATGGTCACTTTCTCTTTATTCTTGTTCCGTGACTCGTCATTTAGAAAAATGTGGGCGAGGTGTAACTTAAAAGCCTCACCGGAGAAGTAGTCGGTAAAGTTGATGACCATCTCCCGTTCCGGCCAGGATGCAGTGGCGGCGTGGAACTCGAATAGGTTGAACCAGTCCTGTACGGGTCCGTCGTCCGCTGATCCGGTGTACTTGGGGATGTCAAGGTCAGTTGATGATGCTGTCATTATGCTGGTCATGGTGTAGAGTTGGGATGCACTTGTGTGGTCCACGTTCGGTCACTGCGTCTTGCTGAGGTGTTCGATGATGATGGACGGTTGATGAAGTGGCTGCTAGGTCTTCATCCTGTCGACTCGTGTGACGCTATGATAAATGGGAGATGTGGCCTGGCTCATACGCCACGTTTATTCTACTAAGCACTTCCTCTTCTTCGGCTTCTCCTGCCATGCCTTAATATATATATATATATATATATATATATATATATATATATATATATATATATATATATATATATATATATATATATATATATACAAGTTTAGGATCTACATCTACAACTACATTTACGGAACAGTTGCCAGGTGCTCGGCTGCTGACCCGTAGGATGCGGGTACAATGCTGTTTACGGCAGTCATATTAGATGGAAGCGTAATCACAGAGGCTCATGCATACTGTGTCGTGTCAGCGCATGTTAAAGAACACCAGAGGGTCAAAATTTTCACATTACTCCGCTATGGCGTATCTTTTAACTATATGGTGGTTGTTTTGAACGTTTAACCCCCGATAATAATATCGGGACTACGTACACCATAACATGTTATTACGACCCGGCAGTCGACACAATCCAAGTGTTGCCCCACCGTGGTGGTCGTGTGGATAAGGTACTCGGCTGCTGACCCGCATGTCGCGGGATCGAATCCCGGCTGCGGCGGCTGCATTTCTGAAGGAGGCGGAAATGTTGTAGGTCCGTGTGCTCAGATTTGAGTGCACGTTAAAGAACCTCAGGTGGTCGATATTTCCGGAGCCCTCCACTACGGCGTCTCATATGGTGGTTTTGGGACGTTAAACCCCACATATCAATCAACAATCTAAGTGTTAACACTCGCACCATTGTCACGCTCGTTCTGTCATTGACGCGGGGTTTCTAAAAAGGGCTGAGTTTGGTAATTATTAATAAATATTGGTGGTGCCGGTGGTTGATCATGATGATAGGAAAGCACTTACGTAAAGCACGGGACGAGAAAGGAACACAAACACATGGCTCGTGTCGTCGTATGTATTTCTTCTTCGTCCCCTGCTTTCGTCCCCTGCTTATCTCACATCACGCACTCTTTCTTATACGACGATCTGTTTTGGTTTGTGAGATGACCAGACGATCTTCGTAAACACACTAGGGCGAATAACTAATAACAAAACACGTAACTTACAAATAGCGACATGGCAGACTTGAAGCGTAAGGAGTATAAATAGATGCAGTAGCATTGCAATCAGCTCTAAGTGAATGTATGTTACCTGAAAAAAAAAATAGTGTCCAGATCAAGCGATTTTTTTATTTCTATAGAAGCAATAGAAACGGAACTTGAATTAAATATGAACTGAAAATCTGATAATAACATATTGGTGTCACATTCACACAGTGAATGCTTTGGCACAACGGCTTCGCGGGTGCCGCGCGTATAAAACCCAATTGAAATGTATTACCTGTATACAAAAGAGGGCAGTTAGAATCATAATATACTGAAAGAGAAAGGATAATGAATAAAAAACTATTTCAACGTCTCTGAATACTGCAGCTGGATTCTGTTCATGTGTCCAGTATCGTTGTTATTTTCCAAAGCGTGATGAAACGTCAGGACCCATTCACGTTACCCACGCGCTGTATACAAAGGCAGAAGGGAACAAGTTCTTTTGTTTACCGCTAAGCAAAAATACCTACGGTTGAAGGCACCTAGTTTATTATGAGGCCTTCATTTGACATGTCATAAAACTGATGGAAATTAGACGAATAATTTCTCTATGGCCATGAAGTGCTTTGTGCACTTTTTAAGTCTGAATGTTGTATATTGGTTATTTAATCTTTTCTTATTTGTAATATAAATGAATAATCATTTATTTAAAACACTTGTATTGAGTTCACTGTCCTCCATTGACGCTGTAGCTGCCTCGCCTTTAAGGCAAGGAGGGGTAAATGGAGACACAGAGCAAAGCACAACATTTTCACGTTGCTGACCTTTGTGGCTAATAAAAAAAGGGCTTTTATTTCTTTCTTCTTTTCAGCGATATGTGCAGGCAGTTGTTCACCTCGTTATGTGAAAAGTTGATGATTTCTTGCCGCGTTCACACGGGAAAAATCGTGCAGGTGGTGCCAATGATTTCATCACCCGTCCAGACAGGGCAAAGTTCTGCTCAGCCAAATTTTCGCATTCATGCATGAAGATACCCTGGTGTCAGTACAATAGCGCATCTGATAATTTTCTAACTTCATACTATTAGCTAAACACAACCAGAGGATTCGTTCAATTGGTTCCAGAGGACAAAGCAGATTTTTTTTTTTTTAATTCGGGCATGTGAGAGAAGCAAAACATGGCAAACAGGCATACAATTGTCTTAAAAATTTTGAGCAGGTGAACACAGTTACACAAATTTGATATTTTTGTTTACAAAGGTTTGAACTTTTAGGAGAATATCATACCAACTTTCCTAGGACGAAAACAGCATAAAAAAGCACTGTTAACTGTTAAAGACAGGACTTGCTTCATTCGCGCTACATCGAAGTTTTTCGCGTTCCCAAAAATGTTCTTAAGAGGCACGTGAACACAAATAGACAAATGCCCATGTCAAGCAGTTTTCAATGACATATTTGAAAAATCTTTGAAGGGTATTTCTCAAATACCTATGTTAAAATAAACGCTAGGAAATCCGAATGTAGTACAATATTAAATTCGTCGCCTCAAAAACCTGGTTGACAGCTGACAGCCACGAAATGGTCGTGTAACATGCATCAAAATGGCAAAATGCTGAAGAAGTTTGATCAGAACAAATTTAGGCTTTAGTCAATCAATGAACCAATGATCTGCAAACGTTCGACAAAACACAGCATTAGCGCCATGACAGACTGGCGATGTTAGATCTGCAAGGAGTTTTGGAGCTACACAGCTGCAGATTCTGTCTGAGTTCAATGCGTGGAAAGCAATGAGTGCGCCTATGATGACGACATGGGGGCTCACCGAGTGAACTATAAGTACTACGTAGCCGCCCACCGAATCAAGTGCAAAAACAATTTATTTCACAATGTCTCGTTTTGCTCATATGTTGAGAAAAAATGATTCATATTGTGACATTTTTTCCCTTTAAAAAGAACTTTTACGCAGTGGCCACATTACCATAGTACTTGCACATACGTAATACCCATAGATTAGTTTCCACGCTAATGGTTAACGGACAGGAGTGAAAAAAAATCAATGCATCTTCACTACTGTGCAGCATGATGAATGACAAGGCAGTCAGTAACGTACTATGTTTAAGTTGTCACACGCGCGTTGCAAAAGCGAAAGTAAATAAAGTGACATAATATATATATATATATATATATATATATATATATATATATATATATATATATATATATATATATATATATATATATATATATATATATATATATATATATATATAATGAGATCTAACAGACCGTAATGCCAAGGAATCTATCGGGGAAGTTATTAGAAGAAGTTATTATATTGTGTCAAAACACAGACAAACGAGCTCTTAGGCATACACTTCTTTCCCTTATGCATTAACGAGGGTCTTCTAATGGTAGGCTTGGTGCCGTTAGGTTGTTTACGTGGGACTATTGGTCAGCTGCCCGCTCGTAATAAGTTCACGTGCTACGTGGCGCCACACAGGCTCATAAAAGGGTGTTGCACACTCGCCGCCATGGCTACAGCTGGCGCTGACTGACACTCCCACGTTTAAATTCAAATATAAACCCAATAAAGTGGCTGAGGGAATAGCCACCATGATAGCTCAGTGGTTAGAGCGTCGAACACGTTATTCGAAGGTCGTAGGTTCGATGCCTGCTTACGACAAGTAGTTTTTTCACCCACTTTTCTTTCTTCCTATTTACTTCACATTGGTTCTAATAACTCTTCTATACATAACTTAGCAATATTGTTTGTTAGATCTCATTGATATTGTGTCTAAATATGGAAAAACGAGCCCTTGGGTATACACTTCTTTCCCTTATATATATATATATATATATATATATATATATATATATATATATATATATATATATATATATATATATATATATATATATATATATATACGCGTGCGGCGATGGCGTAGTGGTTAGAGCATCCGCCTCGCATGCAAGAGGTCCGTGGTTCTAATCCCGGTGCCGCGCAGTTCCCAACCGGATTAACAAAAAAATCGGCGTGTTGATGGAACTGCATTAAGAGGCCTGGGGTGCGGCCTCACCGGTGACTACCGCCGGTAACGCACTCCCCCAGCGGAGAACGATTGGCCACCCTGGTGCAGTATCTGGCCACTACCTCCCACATTCATACGTCAAATAACTCACGGCCCTCAGTCCCCAGCAGCTGCGAAGCAACTGACCACGGCGGCGGTCAGATCTGCAACGCAGCAGAGGGTGCTAAGAATCTCTGGATCCGGACAGGCCGTCATTGGAATCTGAACTTGGCAACGTTTAACACTAGAACCTTATCTGGTGAGGGAAGTCAAGCTGTACTATTCGAGGAGCTAGAGGGTGTTAAATGGTATATAATAGAGCTCAGTGAGGTTAGGAGGACAGATGAGGCCTATACGGTGCTACAGAATGGGCACGTCCTTTGCTATCGGGGCTTGGCAGACAGAACAGAACTGGGAGTGGGGTTCCTAATTCACAGAAACATAGCTGGCAACATAGATGAATACTATAGCATTATTGAAAGGCTGGTAGGTATCGTAATTAAACGGAATAAAAGATACAAGATGAAGGTAGTACAGGCTTGCGCGCCTACATTCAGCCATGATGACGCTTCTGTTGAAAGCTTCTATGAAGACGTAGAATCGGCAATGAGTAAGGTAAAAACACAGTATACTATAGTGATGGGCGACGTTAATGCAAAGGTAGGGAAGAAGCAGGCTGGAGACCACGCAGTAGCATATTATGGCATCGGTACTAGAAACGCCAGAGGAGAGCTACTAGTAAAATTCGCAGAACGCAATAATTTACGGATTTTGAATACCTTCTACCGAAAACGAGAAAACCGCAAGGGGACATGGAGGAGCCCTAACGGCGAAAATAAGAACAAAATTGACTTTATAATGAGTGCACACCCAGGAATTGTGCAGGATGTGGAAGTGGTTGGCAAGGTACGATGCAGTGACCATAGAATGGTACGGTCTCGAATTCGCCTAGACTTGAAGAAGGAACGACAGAAACTGATACGCAAGAAGCCAATCAATGAGCTAGCACTGAGAGGGAAAGTATAGGAATTCAGAGTGTCGCTGCAGAACAGGTACTCGGCTCTTAGTGAGGAAACCAACCTTAGCGTAGATACAATGAATGATAATCTGACGAGTATTATTACGGAGTGTGCAGTGGAAGTTGGAGGCAGGGTAGTTAGACAGGACACTGGCAAGCTTTCCCAGGAAACGAAGAGCCTAATTAAGAAGCGTCAAATCATGAAAGTGTCAAGTACAACAGACAAAATAGAAATGGCAGAGCTTTCGAAGTTGATTAATAGACGTAAGGTATGCGATGTAAGAAGGTATAACATGTAGAGAATCGAACACGCTCTGAAAAACGGAGGAAGCGTCAAAGCAGCGAAAAGGAAACTTGGGATAGGCAAAAGTCGGATGTATGCACTAAGGGACAAAGAAGGCAAAATAACTACCAATATAGATAGGATAGTTAAAATAGCGGAGGAGTTTTACAGAGATCTGTACAGTAGCCGAGACAACCACGACATTAATACTATAAGAACTAGCAGTAACCCAGATGACACCCCAACAGTAATGATAGAAGAAGTCAGAAAAGCTTTGGAGAACATGCAAAGAGGCAAAGCTGCTGGTGAGGATCAGGTAACATCAGATCTGCTGAAAGATGGAGAACAGACTGTGTTAGAAAAACTAGCCACCCTGTTTACGAGGTGTCTCCTGACGGGAAGAGTACCAGAGTCTTGGAAGAACGCTAACATCATCTTAATACATAAGAAAGGAGATGACAAGGACTTGAAGAATTACAGGCCGATCAGCTTGCTCTCTGTAGTATACAAGCTATTTACAAAGGTAATTGCTAACAGAGTAAATAAAACATTAGAATTCAATCAACCAAGTAACAAGCAGGATTTCGAACAGGCTACTCAACAATTGACCACATTCATACTATCAATCAGGTAATAGAGAAATGCTCAGAGTATAACCAACCACTATAGATAGCCTTCATAGATTACGAGAAGACGTTTGATCCAGTAGAAATATCAGCCGTCATGCAGACACTG